TTTGGCACATCTGGAGCTAATTTCTCTGTCCAGTTTTCCGTCTGAAGTAAAAATTGCTCCCAAATACTTAAATTCCTCTGTTTGTCTCAGGGTGTTGTTTTTTAATTTAATTTCTAAATTGTCTTTATGTCTTCCTATCATCATTGTCTCTGTCTTCGTAGTGTTTATTTTCATATTATATTCCTCCCCTTTGTTACTAATTTGATTTAGGTGGTTCTGTAGGCATTCCATATTTTCTGCTATGAGTACCTGGTCGTCGGCGAAAAGTAATTCTGTTATATCTTCTTCCTGATTAAAGTCTGTTTCGCTACATATGGCGTCCATGTATGTTATGAAAAGAAGCGGCGATAGTACACAGCCCTGACGCACACCAGAGTTCACTATAAAAGTTCTAGACAACCCTGCCTTTGATCTTATGCAGCATTCACTACGTGTGTACAGGCTTTTGCAAATATTAATGAGATGATTGCTGATTCCTTTTTTCCCCATACATTCCCACAACATATTCCTGTCGACTCTATCGAAGGCTTTTTCTTGGTCTATGAATGTCAACAAACATGTCTTATCATGTTCTATTGCCCTCTCTGATAGTTGTCTCAATGTATAAATGGCATCTGTGCAACTTCTGTTTCGTCGAAAGCCCATCTGTGCTTCTGAAAGTTGATACTCTATCAATGGTCTCAGCCTTTTTTCGATGATCTTAGCATACATTTTCCCAGTGTGACTGAGAAGTGATATTCCTCTGTAATTAGTACATTCCCTCTTACTTCCTTTATTTTTCCACAGCGGGACAATGACAGCAGTTTGCCAATCTGATGGTGTTTCTTGATTTTCCCATGCCACCTGAAATATTCTCTTTAACCATATTGCTCCCGTTTCTCCTGCTGCCTTGATGGCCTCAGCTGGTAGATCATCAATACCTGTCGCCTTTAGTCTAGGCGCGGTTCGAATGGCATATTTTACCTCATCTAATAATATACCTGGTTCTAGTTCCTCTGCTGTTAGTTCCGAGTTGTTTTTATGTTCTTCCCTGCTTTTATCTGTTTTATTGCAGCTAAGTAATGCTTTAAAGTAATTACTCCACCTTGCTAAGATTTTAGTAGGTTCTATTAAAGGTTGGCCAACTTCATCATTTATAATTTCTGTTGGGTTGTATTCTTCATTCCTGTTTCTCATGCCTTTGATTTTTTTGTAGTAGTTTTTCACTGCTGATCTTTCTTCTTCAGCCAGCTTGCTTCCAAACTTTTCCCATGAATCTCTTTTTGCTTTTCTGATAGTTCTATTTACTTCTCTTCTAATTTTCCTGTATGTTATGTAATCCTCTTCTGATCTGCTCCTCAACCAAATGCCATAAGCTTTCTTTTTACTGCTCACAATACTTCTTATTTCTTCAGACCACCATGTTGAGAGCTTACGCCATATGTTACCTTTCCTTTTAGTTCCACATATTTCTTGTGCTATTTTCATAGTGGTGTCTCTGAAATTCAACCATTCTGTATTTACCCCAAGAGTGTTTTGTGGAAGCTGTTCATAATTTTCCTGTAATTTTTGCTGAAACGCTCGCCTGTTTTCTTCACACTCTAGTTCTTTCCATTTTATTATGTCACTTTTATTACATTTCTTTTTGGTTTGATAACTTATCTTGATTTTTCTGTCAAGGATCACCATCCTATGATCTGTATCTAAACTCAAGTTTGGTATAACTCTCGCATCTGTAACTTGATGAAAGTCTCTTTTTCTCGTCAAGATGTAATCAATCTGACTCTTGGTATCTGGATCATTCCATTTATACCATGTAAAAACTTGTGAAGCTCTATGTTGAAAAAAGGTGTTGGTAATAACAAGGTCATGTTGTGTACATATATCCAACAGTCTTTCGCCATTTTCATTTCTAATGCTGTTGTCTCCATAATTGCCTAGGTATCTTGTGAATGTTCTTCTGTCTCGTCCTGTCTTACCGTTAAAATCACCCATCACGATCAGTTTTTCTCGTTATTATCTATCTTACAAATTTCATCATCCAGGTTCTCAAAGAAATAATCTAAATCCTCTTCACTGTAATTTCCATTGCACGGAGCATATATCTGAAAAAACACCTCCGAACTATTTCCTACTTGTAATTTCAAACTTATAATTCTTTCCGAGATGTAGTTAACTTCAAGTATATTTTTTGCAGTTTCGGGATCGATGACAAATCCCACTCCATGCTTCGCACATTGCATTTCCTCTACTCCCGATTGTATCAAAACGTAATTTTTATGTAGTTTCTTCATTCCTCGTCCTTTCATTCTCACTTCTGATAAGCCTAATACTTTAACATTATATTTCTCCATTAATTCGATCACTTGTTCTTCTTTATTGCCCCATCCACATATATTGATTGTCCCTACCCTGGTCTTAACCTTCTGCTGGCCTCTATTTTCCCTATTTCTAAAACATCTCCTATTTTCATCTTGGGCATTTCTTTTCGAACCGCTGAATCCTCCGCCGACTTGCCGGGCCTGTCGCGAATTCATCTTCAACTGAACAACTACACTACTCTAACACATTTAACATTCTATCCAGGAATAAACATATCTTTTAGTCACAATTTTCGGCGAACGTTGTTTACGCCGCCATCTTGGCCAACCTTCATCATTGTTCGATGTGGATTCACTGCCACCAAAGTCCTCTATCCTTCCCATTTCTCTGAGGGCATTGATAATATCAGCATGATCCATAGGCCGACCGTCGGTAGTGATAGCGGATCCAGCCAACCTGTCAGCTCTTTTATTTCCATCGACGCCTGCGTGTCCCGGAACAAAAATAAAGGTGACTCCACGCACAGTGGACTTCTGTAATGATTCAAGCCATTGTCTTCGTACTGAACCCTCCGGATCATACTCATTGAATCACTGAGTATACATATGCGGGTGTATTTTTGTGTTTCAAGCCAGGCAAACGCTTGCGTCACTGCCATCACCTCCATCGTCATGCTGCTGGTTGTCATGGAGAAGGCACCGTTGGCTTCTTTGACTGTTCTGCCCGCTGAGCGTGCTGTAAATGCCCATGCGCTTCTTCTTTGGCGTATAACGGATCCGTCTGTATAGATTATTGCATCTGCTTCGTCTGAATTTTCACCGATGAGAGCGTTGACCTCTGCATTAACAGCAACAGGATTCTCTTCTCTACATCGCCATCTACATCTACATATGGAGAGATACAATAACTGCAGGTTACGGATCATCTATTGGTATGTTATGCTCTTCTGCGTTTCACTCAAAAAGTTACCGATTGACACGTTGTGTAGTTAAAAAGCTGCGATATCTGCGCATTTCAAACCAACATATCCACACTGCCCACATCCCTAACTCCCCCCCCCCCCCCCCTTTGTGTGTGTGTGTGTGTGTGTGTGTGTGTGGCTTGCTAGTGGCAATGCCCGGCACGCACAGATAAATATTCATAGCATTATTTCGTTGCTAGGATCTATGTTTTACATTTACCAATGGGCAAGCTGTAAAACATGGAACGGAAAGCAAGATGTCGGTCTAATTGTAGCCATTGATCTAGTAGGTTACTTGGGCGTGACTTCGATCAATTTTGTCCACAACTGTGAAACAGTCTTGAGCATCCTTTGCTGTTGATTTCATTCTCCATTGACATATTTTGTTTCGCTGCATCTGTACGTCTTCATTACTCGCAGTTATGCAATAATAATTTTGATAAACTCAGGAGGATGGGTGCGTAAAACTTAAGTAAAATAAAAGTAAAAGAACCAGACATATAAATAAACATTGATGATTGTTGTTGACCAGTTAGTATCTATATTAACATATTATTATTATTCACAGAGGTGAAGAATAGAACAGGACAGGCCAAAACTGCATGTTATCAAAAGAGAAGAATATTGTGTGCAAATAATCCATGTCATTTGAGGTTAAGAAAAAGATTTATCATCGCATGAATATATATTATATATAGAGCCAGTTTTGACAAACGGCTACTGTAAAGCCTGGACAACAACAAAAACAACAGGCCGAACAATATCTTGAGACCTCGGAGGTGTGGTTTGACAGAGAATACTAGAATTCCTTGGACAGCTAAGAAGAGCAACCCAGATGTTTTGAAAGAGGCAGGTACTTAAAGACAACTTATTAGAAAGACAGTCCTCCTTTTTTGTTCATATTATAAGAAGAAGAAAAATGGAATATGTTGTAACCCCTGGAACAGTTTGTGGAAAGAAAGACAGAGGAAGACAGTGTGAGAAGATTCTTGACAGTCTTTTGTCATGAAGGGGTGTCAACACACAAATTGATTCATGCTGTTGCGGGTCACAGATTGTAGAGAGGCATGATCGCTTACATCAGTCGGCAAGGCATTTGATGATGGTGATGTAAATTAATACAGTTATTTTTTTTTTTCATCATCATTACCAATTTTTTTCTTGAAAATTATTGTAACATTTAGAAGTAGATCTCAAGGTATTGTTTAAAAATAATAGCAGTGACCACTATTGTATTATTCTGTTGTGTGTTCTTAGAAAATTAGAATCATTTAGCTGTTTCAGTGTGGTGCCAAGTGCTAGTTAATTCAACACAGTGGGTGCCGGGTACAGTCCTGGGAAGTAAAGGTGGCCGGCGTGATGCAGACAACATCCCCCACCAAGTGCTGATTCTTCTATAAAATGTAGATCTAGCCCTATATACCCAGTATACCTGAAGGCATGGGAAATGGTCTATTGCTTCTTTGAAAGTATTTATCACACCCATTTATCACACCCATCTATCACACCCATTTATCACACCCATTTATCACTTTCATCACACCCATTTATCACACCCATTTATCACACCCATTTATCACACCCATTTATCACACCCATTCATCACACCCATTTATCACACTTATTTATCACTTTCATCACACCCATTCATCACACCCATTTATCACACTTTCATCACACTACTGTTGTCATCACAATGCAATCTTCTCATCCCTAAATGAATTCTGTCTTCAGGAACATGCAACAACAGATGACAGTAGCACCTCCTCCAGCACTTGCTCCTGTTGCGCCACCTCTGTCAACATCTGCCCAGTTCTTGCTGTGCCAGGGTTCATGTCGTACAAACACCAGCCCTGACATGAAGCCAGTTAGTCCTGTGTCGTCGCAGCCGTCACCAAAGGAGGTCGCTGAGGAGATCAGCAAGCAGTTTAAGAACTGTTTACCTCACACCCATGGTGAGTCGGACCTTCACCGGGCAGCATTTGAGGGTGATGCAGAGAAGATCCGCCTGCTTTTGGATCAGATTGATTCAGACCCGTACAAATTTGAAACAATCAACCAACGAAACCGCTTGGGGTGTACCCCAATTAGGCTTGCTGCTACAGGTAATTGTGAGGTCTCTCTTTTTTTTAAAGGCATCATTCCTTGTACTTAGTTAGTTAGTTGAGGTTCCAATATCCCTACAGGTAGGTCAGCTCATAACTGCTTCAGATCTGTAAAATTGTTGTGCACGATAAAGTCCAGTGTCCAGAAGTGGGCAAACAACCAGGACTTTCCTCCTGTTTACAGCTGGTGGACGTGAAGAAGAAAAGACAATTGTCTCTGTACAATCCTGTCTTCCTGTTTGTCTCTTTCTGATTGCCTATCAGCCCGTCTGCATCTGAATCTGCATCTATTTATTTGCCTGCTTGTCCATCTCTCTGCCTGATTATCTATATCTACTTTCCTCCCTCTCTGTTCTTGTGTATTTGCCGTACAGCCCTCTTTTCTGTCTGTATGTCAGATTTATACGGAAGGTCTACGTGACAATGTAGTCAAGCCATTTGCATTGCGCTCTGAAAGTCATTTATTCATTTCACGGGATGCCATTTGGTTCACGAGTGCAGTTTTTTCCAGAGAGACCCCTGCAGATCGTTGCTGGAGCTACAGAGTTCATGATTTGTGCAGTGTTTTTCAGCAGGTGAATAGCCAGGCTTTGGAGAGAGACAGAGCCATATGAAATAAAATCTAGTGCAATGAAGTCAATCCTGCTGACTTTAGCCTTTGTCAGATTTATAGAAATCTTCTTAATTTCTTGGTATAATAACAGGAATTTTGTCAACTTGTGCAGTGTATTCAGTGTTTTCACTAACTGTCATATCCACATAATTTGTCCCTCTCAACTTCATTTAGTTTGTAATTTTTCCTGCATTTGTATAAAAGATTGATTTGCCTGACTGTAAATCTTGTGACTCCTGCATGTGTATCAAATATTTATTTGCCTGACTGTAAATCTTGTGACTCCTGCATTTGTATAAAATATTGATTTGCCTGACTGTAAATCTTGTGACTCCTGCATTTGTATAAAATATTCATTTGCCTGACTGTAAATCTTGTGACTCCTGCATGTGTATCAAATATTTATTTGCCTGACTGTAAATCTTGTGACTCCTGCATGTGTATCAAATATTGATTTGCCTGACTGTAAATCTTGTGACTCCTGCATTTGTATAAAATATTGATTTGCCTGACTGTAAATCTTGTGACTCCTGCATGTGTATCAAATATTGATTTGCCTGACTGTAAATCTTGTGACTCCTGCATGTGTATCAAATATTTATTTGCCTGACTGTAAATCTTGTGACTCCTGCATTTGTATAAAATATTGATTTGCCTGACTGTAAATCTTGTGACTCCTGCATGTGTATCAATTATTCATTTGCCTGACTGTAAATCTTGTGACTCCTGCATTTGTATAAAATATTGATTTGCCTGACTGTAAATTTTGTGACTCCTGCATGTGTATCAAATATTTATTTGCCTGACTGTAAATCTTGTGACTCCTGCATGTGTATCAAATATTTATTTGCCTGACTGTAAATCTTGTGACTCCTGCATGTGTATCAAATATTGATTTGCCTGACTGTAAATCTTGTGACTCCTGCATGTGTATCAAATATTGATTTGCCTGACTGTAAATCTTGTGACTCCTGCATTTGTATAAAATATTGATTTGCCTGACTGTAAATCTTGTGACTCCTGCATGTGTATCAATTATTCATTTGCCTGACTGTAAATCTTGTGACTCCTGCATTTGTATAAAATATTGATTTGCCTGACTGTAAATTTTGTGACTCCTGCATGTGTATCAAATATTTATTTGCCTGACTGTAAATCTTGTGACTCCTGCATGTGTATCAAATATTTATTTGCCTGACTGTAAATCTTGTGACTCCTGCATGTGTATCAAATATTGATTTGCCTGACTGTAAATCTTGTGACTCCTGCATGTGTATCAAATATTGATTTGCCTGACTGTAAATCTTGTGACTCCTGCATTTGTATAAAATATTGATTTGCCTGACTGTAAATTTTGTGACTCCTGCATGTGTATCAAATATTGATTTGCCTGACTGTAAATCTTGTGACTGCTGCATGTGTATAAAATATTCATTTGCCTGACTGTAAATCTTGTGACTCCTGCATGTGTATCAAATATTTATTTGCCTGACTGTAAATCTTGTGACTCTTGCATGTGTATCAAATATTGATTTGCCTGACTGTATATCTTGTGACTCCTGCATGTGTATCAAATATTGATTTGCCTGACTGTAAATCTTGTGACTCCTGCATTTGTATAAAATATTGATTTGCCTGACTGTAAATCTTGTGACTCCTGCATGTGTATCAAATATTGATTTGCCTGACTGTAAATCTTGTGACTCCTGCATGTGTATCAAATATTGATTTGCCTGACTGTAAATCTTGTGACTGCTGCATGTGTATAAAAGATTGATTTGCCTGACTGTAAATCTTGTGACTCCTGCATGTGTATCAAAGATTGATTTGCCTGACTGTAAATCTTGTGACTCCTGCCTGTCCATCAACCAGGAGGCCACCTGCAATGCCTTACCTACTTAATTGACGCCGGCGCCAGCATTGACACCAGCGACGTCAAATGCCAGACTCCGTTGTTTGTGGCTGTCAAGAACCGGCGGCTGGAATGTGCCAGGAAGTTGTTGCAAGCTGGTGCCAGCCCTGATGGTGATTCAGGCAACTCTTCAACCCCGCTGTATGTTGCATTCATGAACAGGGATGTTCATTATGTTCTGGTATGCTGCCACATGCATATTGTTTGTGTATTGTTATAAAGTCAATATGTTCTGGTACAAAAGAGTCTGGATAACCCCAACCTATTCTGTCAACTCCTTTCCTAATAGTAGAAAATTTTTTTGCTCAGTCTCTAGGTGCCTACCGAGAGCATCACACAAAACACAAACTTTGTGGTGTGACACTGTGAGCCGCAGATTTCATTTTGAATGCTTTTCCACCATGCCTGACATGGTGTGTTTTGTGAACTGCAGATTCAGAAAATGGTTGCCAGAGAACTTGTCTTGCCTTTTGCAGTTAATTGAACATGCAACTACTGATCTGTTGTAACTGATGCTTCCATCAGATACTGCATTTCTAGTGTTAAACTGTTTGTGTTGGCACTTCTAACTACTGCCTCATGCATTTAATACATGTGTATACTTTTGGATTTGCTAAGGCTGCAGTCAGTGTCAATTATCGTTTGTCACAGGGGACAGTTAATGAAATTCTGTGTGGTTATTCAACAGCACATGAATAGAGCAACTATGGGGTGGCATGTTTGCTATGCATGTGGAGCTGTGATTACTGACAAACTCTACAGCTCCATCATTGATCCCTATCTTTGTGAGAATTATGCTTGTTAACTGAAAACTCCAGCCCATAAAACAAACCCACAACTTTCTGGATGCTAAGCAAACAGCATAACCACTCAACCACGGAGAGAGAGAGAGAGAGAGACTATATCAAAGCTCTTCTGTGAATCGTATCGCCCGGAAAAAGCTAAATCTGGTTGTTTTTGGTTGTGACACAGCCTTGTAAACGTCGATATATGGCCATGTCTAAAATGACCTAGTCTCAAAAAGCATAGTTAAATGCCGTTGATTTTAGTGTGTGTCTCTCAGTGTGGGTTCGGTGGTCCGAGTGGGGGGGGGGGGGGGGGGGGGGGGGCACCAAAACAAGACCAAAGTCCAGAAATGCACAAACAACACAAACTTTCCACTGGTGTTTTCAGCTGTTGAACACTATGAAGAAGACGATAATGTGCACATGCAGTGTTAAATAGGCCAGGATGTGAATATAGTAGCTAAAAATAGTAATGGGTGGAGGCGGGATTCATTATTACCTCTGTGGCTTAAAAAAAAAAAAGACAAGTTGACATCAGATTTCCCCCAAAAGCTACATTGAATTAAATCATGGGGTCGCAACATGATACAAGATTGTTTTCGAGAAATTCCTGCCGGTTCATGACCCTTTTTTTTTCAAGCATTTACAGGACAAGAGGGTTAACGTATTTGATCTTCTTTCAACAGCTTCTGTTGGAGCATGGGGCGCATCCAGATAAACTTCATCACAAGATCAGAAAGAACAGCCAGAACACATACAATCCCCGTCTGACTTCCTTGGATGCTGCCACTGAGTATATGTTTGCCGGAGATGATGTCTACCGAGCCGTCAAGGCCTTGTTGATACGAGGCTGTCAGACAGACAGTAAGTTAGAAGATTGTTGATACAAGGCTGTCAGACAGACAGTAAGTTAAAATATTGTTGATATGAGGCTGTCAGACAGACAGTAAGTTAAATCATTGTTGTTACGAGGCTGTCAGACACAGTAAGTTAGAATATTGTTGATACGAGGCTGTCAGACAGACAGTAAGTTAGAACATTGTTGATACGAGGCTGTCAGACATACAGTAAGTTAGAACATTGTTGATACGAGGCTGTCAGACAGACAGTAAGTTAGAACATTGTTGATACGAGGCTGTCAGACAGTAAGTTAGAACATTGTTGATATGAGGCTGTCAGACAGACAGTAAGTTAGAACATCGTTGATACGAGGCTGTCAGACAGTAAGTTAGAACATTGTTGATACGAGGCTGTCAGACAGTAAGTTAGAACATTGTTGATACGAGGCTTTCAGACAGACAGTAAGTTAGAACATTGTTGATACGAGGCTGTCAGACAGACAGTAAGTTAGAACATTGTTGATACGAGGCTGTCAGACAGTAAGTTAGAACATTGTTGATACAAGGCTGTCAGACAGATAGTAAGTTAGAACATTGTTGATACGAGGCTGTCAGACAGATAGTAAGTTAGAACATTGTTGATACGAGGCTGTCAGACAGACAGTAAGTTAGAACATTGTTAGCATGAGATCCGAATGTGGGTTTCCTGGCCTCGTTTTACAATAAAAAATCCCTGTGTGGGTTCTGGGGCTCCATTGTGGGGGAAAACAAGAATAGACCCACTGCCTCCCCAACAAGCTTGTCCTCAGAGTCGACAAACTGAGGTATTGCTTCAAAAACGGTGTGCATCTGCCTGAAAGGCAAAGAACCAACAGTCTGCATACAAGTAAGATCTGTTAAACGGTTACGAGAGGTTCTGGCAAATGCTCGAGGCTCAGAGGAAAAGCAAGGTGGACTTTTAATCAAGAATGCTACTGGCACCATTTGCTTCTCTTTTTGACTTATCCATGGTTGGTTGGTTTTTGTGGCTATATGTTTTTACAGGATGAGGTAGCCAACCTCACGCCCAACCCTACCCTTAGTCGCCTCTTACGACATGCCTGGTAGGGTGCAGTGTCACTATTCTTTGCTTTCCGTGAGGGCCCCGGTGACACACGGGCGAATGAAATAAGGGAATAAAATGGTATGATAGAATAACTAATGTAGAACTTTGGGAGGGAACTAAACAGGCTCCAGTGGATCAGGAGGTGAGGAAAAGACGCTGGCGTTGGATAGGACACACACTGAGAAAACAGGAGAACAGCATAACTAGAATGTCTTTGCATTGGAACCCACAGGGGCATAGGAATAAAGGAAGGTCAAAAAACACATGGAGAAGAGATCTGGAGAATGAGGTTAGAAAGATTGGGAGGACATGGGGAGAGCTCCATGTAATGGCGAAGGATAAACGACTTGGCGTGAGTTGGTTGAGGGCCTATGCTCCATTGGGGGATAAAAAGGCAGAAGAAGAAGAAGACTGGCACCATTAGTATCGAAATTATTCGCTGGCTGCTGAAGATGGGGACAGAGCACTTATGGGTATTCCCAGAGTGCTGTGATGTCGGTTCTTGAATCAGATCAAATCAAATCAATGTTGAATGGATATGCCAGACAAGACTTAGGTTAAAGAACCTGCACAAAAGTCCAGAGGTGGACAAAAAACCATAACTTTCCACCAGAGTTTACAGCTGGTGAACGTGAAGAAGACACACACACACATGCACACAAATTGTCCACTGTCCCCAAATGACTGACTAGGAGGTTGCTTAAATCAGATGTATAGGCTGATAGGTACAGATATTGCAGCCTAGCTGTTAACCGCAACACAGTGTTCCAATGACTCTTTTAATGGCTAACACAAATACAGGAATAATGCATGAGGCAGACATCTTGTTAAATGTGGATGCAACAGAACTAGGTAGAGGAGAAGAGGCAGACCAAGGAAAATCTGGATACAGAATGTCACTGACTGAATAGGCTTCAGATACAAACATCAGGTTCATTGTATGTGAGTGTCAAAGGTGGAAGTATCTGACCAGTGAGTCGGCACTACCTGGTGGCGACCCATGGTTATGGGACTTTAAGGATGTCATGTTGTAGAAAGAATTGACTTTAAGTCAGCATGGCAGATAGGCAGGTTTATTGTTTATTAGTCGTATCAAGTTTCAGCTTTGACAGTAGTTAGCCGTGGTATTTTCCTGCATGTGTGGACTAGAAGAATATAGTTCTGTCACCCAGCTATTGAGTTGAAAGCGTGGTGCGACATTTTGTGCTGCAGATTTCATTTGGGTTGCTTTTCAACTGTGCCAAGTGTGGTGTGTGTTGTGAACTGCAGATTCAGAAAATGGGAAGTGACCCATTGCCAGAAAACTGGTGGTGCCTTATGCGATTAATTAACTGATCTGTTGCAATAGCTGCTTCCATCAGCGATGAACTTGCGTGTTAATGCTATTGGATTTGCTGAGGCTGCAGTCTGTGAGGTTTTTTGGGAAAGGGAGTGGGGTTGGGTGCTTTATTAATATCCTACTCCAAACAGGGTAAGTTCACAGGTCATGGGACAGTCTAATATTTCAGGGGTGGTAGGCTGCATGTAGTCGTGGGACCTAGGCTGCATTCTCTCGTATGACATAGGTGGGTTGGGGTTAAAAAAAAAGCCGGGAAACAAAGGACTGATGGACATTCTGTGTGGTTTTTGTTGGTACAAGAGTGGAGCAACTACAGGTTGACCTGCTTGCTGTGAAGGTGGAAGTGCGATTACCTGGTTACCAGGTCCAATGCCTGTGACTGACAGAGGTAGAGGTGTCTGATCAGACTGTCAGCCGTACCTGGTAACCCAGCGACACAAAGTTAAGGAATGTTGATGATGTTAGTTAGTCTTCCCTCTTGAGCCTAAGGTGGCGCATAGGGCAGGGGTCATAGCTCTCCATGCATGGTCTTGTTTTAGGTCTTCGATGTTCATTGGGCCCTTGGCTGAGCCTTCCCTAATGATGGTTCTGTGTAGTCTGTTTTAGTCTTCCCCATCTTCTTTTCCCTCCCTGTGTCCATATGAGGGCTTGATAGGGAAATGGAAAGGAGGATTCAGGCTTTTGAATTCCCTCGAAGTCGGAGTACAGCTGCCCATGAGGCAGGGAACAGCAAAACGGTTGTACACGCAAAACTCAGGTCCAGGTAAAAGCCAAAAGTCCAAGCGGACGATTAACCGGGACCTTCTGCCGGAATTCACAGCCGGTGAACGAAGAAGAAGAAGAAGGCTTTTGAATGTAATGCTGCAGACGCATTTTACAAATTAGTCATTTAGAACATAAAAATAAGAAATATGTCAGAACAAAATATACAAATTTGTGGGACATCAGGAGCCTTTCTTGGTAGTGGTGAAACGTCGCAAGCTAGCTGGGTTTGGGCACGTGGTGAGATATGATTCGATTGCAAAGACTACTTCGAGCAACATTGGAGGGTAGTCAAAGAAGAGGAGGGCAAAGAAGATCCTTTAATAATAACATCAATAAATGAACAGAACTAAGTTATTATACACTTATTCATCAAGCAGAAGACAGAGAAAGATGGCAGGTTTTATGTGCTAGTGCTTCTATCAGTACCCTCCACGACCCTAGAAGGTCAAGGGTTGTGTTGCGTTATGTTGATAGGGGAGTCTTGTCTAATCCATTCTGAGTGCATGGCCGATATAGTTCCAGCAGCGCTTTCTTATAAAATTGGATACCTTATCTTGCTTAGTCTCTTGTCATATTTGCATATTGGATCTTAAATTTATCCAGTGGAGACTTAGTATTCTTCTAAGACATATTTTCTCAAAATTGTCTCTTATGTTTTTTTATCTAGAGCTACCGTTGCTTTCCAACTCTTACATCCATGTATAAGCACTGGAATCACACAAGAATTGAAGTTTTGGGTGTTTGTTGAAGAATAAAGGTTCATATGGAATCCTCACTGTTGATTATTACATTGTTCAGATTTCTGCTACAGTAGCCGCATCGACCACGGGGCAGAGCGGCTGATCAACCTGTTCTACAGCTTCGGGGTGCAGATCAACGTTGACTGGCTACTGGCCAGACAGCACAACGAGAGGGACTTCACCAAACAGAATCTCATGTTGTTACGAGGTGAGAGAACACATGTGGTGTTGGGGGAGGGGGTAGCTTGTTACTGCAATTGTTACTTAGTTTGGGCCAGGTATGTTTATGTTGAACAAAGAAATTTGTTACTATTCAAGAAAAGAAATGCATAGCTTATAAAAGGAACATAATTTAATCATATTTTTAACATTCAAAATCTTTGTAAGTAAATGAGTGAAATTGTTCAAATTGCACACAAGATTGCCTTAGAGTTTAACCCATAAAAGACAGTTCTTTTACATCTGGGTCGTAAATAATTTTCAGGCGTGCATTTTGATTTTCCATCAACTAATAAAAACGCGTCAACGGGTAACTTTAAGAATAGTATTTAATTTTGGGCAATGTAATTTTACTACTTTGGTTGAACATGCAATTTTACTACTGTGGTTGAACATGCAATTTTTTTTACTGTGGTTGAACATGCAGTTTTACCACTGTGGTTGAACATGGAGTTTTATTACTGTGGTTGAACATGTAATTTTACTGCTGTGGTTAATCATGTAATTTTACTGCTGTGGTTAAACATGTAATTTTACTGCTGTGGTTGAACATGTAATCTTGTTTGTTGTCTATATTGGTTGATAAAACTGTTTGTTGTTGTACTGTTAAACTACATCATTTGTGTTATAGTGTTAAACTAAATCATTTGTGTTGCAGTGTTAAACTAAATCATTTGTGTTGCAGTGTTAAACTAAATCATTTGTGTTATAGTGTTAAACTACATCATTTGTGTTGCACATCATTTGTGTTGCAGTGTTAAACTAAATCATTTGTTTGCAGTGTTAAACTAAATCATTTGTGTTGCAGTGTTAAACTAAATCATTTGTGTTGCAGTGTTAAACTAAATCATTTGTGTTGCAGTGTTAAACTAAATCATTTGTGTTGCAGTGTTAAACTAAATCATTTGTGTTGCAGTGTTAAACTAAATCATTTGTGTTGCAGTGTTAAACTAAATCATTTGTGTTGCAGTGTTAAACTAAATCATTTGTGTTGCAGTGTTAAACTAAATCATTTGTTTTGTGTTAAACTAAATCAGTGCAGTGTTAAACTAAATCATTTGTGTTGCAGTGTTAAA